GTTGACCAGGATGGTCTAGATCTCTTGACCTCGTGATCCACCTGCCTCGGCCTCCCAAAGTGCTGGGATTACAGGCGTGAGCCACTGCGCCCGGCCGGCTTTTTTTTTTTTTTTTTAATCATGGGAAAATTAGAATGGTGATGTTTGTCCAAGATGGTGACGCACGATGCTCCTACTCTGTCAATCCAGTCCCTATAGTTATAAAAAAGGACGAGGGGCAACATGTTCTTTCTGGCTAGTTCCTGCTGAGGTGGTGGGAGAGTTCTTCAGTTTTGGAGAATAAGCCTGGTTTTGATTGTTAAGCCACTTTTCATGTTTCTTTCCTCATTCTTTAACTCTTATGCTCCTGAGCATGAAATGAATGAGCTGCTTCCCTACGTATCTAGGGTACCATCACTGTGTCATCCCTGGCAGGAATGAGAAAATGGTCACTGCAATAATTTTCTGGAGGGCTAATTTTTCCTGCAGGACACAGCTGGATAAAGTCCATAGCCCAATGACTAGAAAAAGGCCTGAAATGGAGTTCACGCTCTCAGAGCTGGTGCAGGACCCGTCTATAAACTACATACATATTGACTCCCTCTCCTCAGCTCTGGGAGGCAGACACTGTTAAGATCCTCATTTTACAGATGAGGAAACAGTTGTACTGTTAAAGCTCAATCAGCTTTATTTGTTTCCCATCACTGCTGTCACAAATGGCTGCAAACTCTGTGGGTTAATACAACACAAAGTTATTATCTTATGGTGTGGGAGGTCAGACATCCAAAGTCAGTCGCCTTGGACTAAAATCAAGGTGTCAGTAGAATTGGTTCCTTCTGAAATTCTGAGGGGAGAGTTTGTTTCCTTGCCTTTTTTTTCCCCTCTCCTTTTCATTTTTTAGATGGAGTCTCACTCTGTCACCCAGGCTGGGGTGCAGTGGTGCAATCTTGGCTCACTGCAACCTCCGCTTTCTGGGTTCAAGCAATCCTCGTGTCTCAGCCTTCCTGAGCAGCTAAGATTACAGATGTGTGCCACCATGTCCAGTAAATTTTTGTATTTTTAGTAGAAATGGGTTTCACCATGTTAGCCAGGCTGGTAATGAACTCCTGACCTCAGGTGATCCACCTGCCTCAACCTCCAAAGTGCTGAGAATACAGGCATGAGCCATTGCGCCCGGCCTTCCTGGCCTTTTTCAGCTCCTAGAGGTCACCCTAATCATTTGGCTAATAATAATCCTTTCCTCTATACACTCCAACTTCTTTTATTTGTTTCCAAAAAAGCAGTCTGTAACTCTCAATCAGAGATATTAAAAATGTTTATAAGCACAATAATAGTAAATCAAGTAAATTATCATGTCCTCATAAAGGACAAACTTCCAGAGATTTGAATATAAATTTCTATATGTGCTATTGATTGCTGTATAACAAATGGCCCCCACAAATTAGTAGCTTAAAACGGCATTTATGATGTCCATTTTCTTTGCCTTTCCATTATCTCTGTACAGACCTATGTAAACAACTTTTGTATATACATATAGGATAGCTTTTTTGCAAGAATACAGCTGTATATAAAAACAGCTGATATTAAGCTTGTATGAACTGTGTTGGAAACAGATGCTCTGTGCTGCAAGAACAATGGGCACTGAGACAAAGGACCTCTTAGCAAGACAATTTTACTTTCTGCAGGCAGGGTGCTCCTGTTAGCCATCTTGCCACAAGAGTACAACAAACAAAGGAAAAGCAGACATACTTATCTTTTATGCATTTGGGGTCATCCTTACTGCTGTGTCTGATCTCTGTTGGTTGGAGCCAGACTTCACAATCTAAAACTGAACCTGATTGGCTAATAACTTAAAACTTTCTTGAATAGGTAAAGGCAATGGAGAACAAAAGGAAAAGAGGAAGTCTAAATAAGGAAGGGACAGGAAGTTGCTTGCAAAAAGACTTAGAAAAGTAATAGCATCAATATCTTGGTTAAAGTACAAGGACATAGAATGTACTAGGTGTCTGAGCATGTGTAACAGCTACATAGGATAGGGCTTAAAGAGTTATTAGCAAAAAGCAAGAAGGCTATGAAGAAAGTCTTAAAACCAACTATTATTTCTAACACGATTTATTCTTTAACAAGAAAGGAAACTTTGGAGAGGAACTTTTCTTCTTACAAACTGGATTTTTTTCACTTGTACATTTGGTACTTTTTTTGTGGGGGTCAATTAAAGTTGTATGTGCTTAGTATGTCAGTTAAGAAAATAGAATTGTCAGGGATCCAGGAAGGCTGAGCTGATTGCTTCTGACTTTGGGTCTCTCACAAGGTGGCAATTAAGGTGTTGGCAAGGGATGTAGTCATCTCAAGGCTTAACTGAATCCTTGTGTACATGAATGTGCAGGGTGTGACTCAGTTTCCAAGCTCACTTATGTGACTCTTGGCAGAAGATATAAGTTCCTTGCTCCATGTGCCTCTCTGTAGAACAGCTCACTGTGTGACCCCTGGCTTCTTTCAGAGTGAGTGAGCAAAGAGCCAGAGAGGTGGAGTACCCAAGACGGAAGCCACAGACATTTTTTTTTCTTCAGACAAAGTTTTGCTCTTATAGCTCAGGCTTGAGTGTAGTGGCATGGTCTTGGCTCAGTGCAACCTCTACCTCCTGGGTTCAAGCAATTCACAATTCTCCTGCCTCAGCCTCCTGAGTACACGCTGCAGACTTTTTATGACCTAATCTTGGAGGTGCTATTCCATTTCTTATCCCTGTTCTTTACACAAGGAGAGTGTCAGTCAGTCCAGCCCACATGCAAGAAGAGGGCATTTCAAGGGCATGAATCCCAGGGGGTAGGGTCATTGGAGGCTGTCTTTTATACCCTTTGAACATTAAGTCAGGGATGTCCTTAACATGCAGCATTACTAAGATTCCAGACTAAATGACCAAATGCATATTGGATTATTTTTCTGAGCTTATTGTTTAGTTGGCCAAAAATTATTAAGAATAAAATATATTGGGGGGAGATAAGAAAAGAAGGAAGGAAATTATCTTTAATTCCTCCACACTAACATGCATTTTTAATTTTGTCTTTAGCTCTTGTCCAAATGCATATATATATATTTACATGACTATAATTATCTTTACTAGTCTTTGGCGCCCGCTGTTTGACACTTGGCATCATATTACAGAGCATCAACCACATTTCTAGACAATCTTCATAATCATTTTATTTTACTGAAATGGAGTCTGACTGTCACCCAGGCTGGAGTGCAGTGGTGTGATCTCAGCTTACTGCAACCTCCCTCTTCTGGGTTCAAATGATCCTCCTGCCTCATCCCCACAAGTAGCTGGGATTACACACATTCACTACCAGCATGCCTGGCTAATTTTTGTATCGTTTTAGTAGAGATGGCATTTCGCCATGTTGGCCAGGCTGGTCTCAAACTCCTGACCTCAAATAATCCACCCACTTTCGCCTCCCAAAGTGCTGGGATTAGAGACTCGAGCCACCAGGCCTGGCAGCACCATCATTTTAACATACTAGAGATCTTCATTATGGCAAAATTACTTGTTCTCTCAAAGAAAGGCCGTACAACCTATTAAAAGGTAACCAATGTTTTGTTATAAATAGAAGAAAAGCTGTAGCTATAAATTATGAGAATAAGCTCATTTTATATTTATCCAAATGTAGTTCATAATAGCAACTTAACTGAATTGTAGAATAAAAAATGAATAAAATGTAAGTTTTTTGAAGAGATGGTTAATTTTCTCTACAAAATTGTGTGACAGCATTACAGACCTCACCATTCATGGGTGACTTGAACATTAACATCATAAAGAGGGTCCTGTTTGCAAAGGCATAGTCAAGAACTTCATCAGCCTATAATGCCAGCACTTTGAGAGGCTGAGGCAGGCAGATTACAAGGTCAAGAGATCAAGACCATCCTGGCTAACCTGGTGAAACACCTTCTCTACTAAAAATACAAAAAATCCACCGGGTGTGGTGGCACAAGCTTGTAGTCCCAGCTAATTGGGAGGCCAAGGCAGGAGAATCACTTGAAACTGAGAGGCAGAGGTTTCAGGGAGCTGAGTTCATGCCACTACACTCCAGCCTGGGCAACAGAGCAAGACACCATCCCCCATTGGGAAAAAAAAAAAAAACTTCATGAATTTTTAACAGTGGCTTTTTTCCAACTCTTCAATTCAAATATATATTTTTTACATGTCCATCATTGTCCTTTATTTAACTCGATTGCTAACTAGTTTATTTCTGTGAGTTCCTTTGCCTGTAATTGAAACAGTTCTCTGACATCACCGGAACTGATTTTATGAGAGCCCACACTTTTGGAGAGAGTTGCGCTTCTGCTTTGCAATCTATTTACATTGATTGGACTTGCATTGTATTGCTAGATGTTGACTATCAAGTCAATCAAAAAGATATTGATAATGGTCAGGGATAAATCAGAAGTTACTGTCAATAACGAAGATATGTTTTATGGGTGAGTATTTTATAAGTGATAAACTCATTACTGAGCAATTACAGATCATGTTTTAATTCTCCTGATTGTAATATGGTGACTCTGGAGACTCAAATATTGGTATAAAGACAGCCTCTTGTTTGTCATTCAATCTTGTCTACAGTTTGAAGTCTTTTTACATTATAATGACCGTCCCAATAGTAACAATGACAGTCGTTACTTTCTATTAAGTTTTCTATTCTGTACCAAGCATTGGATAATATTGATGAAAATATTAACTACTGTAGTATAAGGGCTTAGGTATTAAAATGAATCAGATGGATCAGTAAATAGTGCAGGAAAAGGTATTTGGTGAAATAGACATAATATAGTCAGCCAACTTAGCCTGAAGATGCATTAAACATTTTTATTTTTCCTTTCTCTTGGGTTTCAAGATACAACCTTCAGGGAAACTGCAGAAGCCTTTTCTTATTTTTAAAAGAGACTCCACATCCTTCACATTATAACTGTATATACACTCTTCACATTTATCTAACTGTATGCTAGTTTCTAATTATGTGTCTTCTTAGAAGTTCTAGGAGCTAATCTTGAAACAGACAGACCAAGCCTGGAGACCCAGTTGCAAAGTTCCAGAGATGGCTTCAAGGTGGCGAATTAACAACCTGGCCATTGTTGAGATGATGTCAGCCTAATGTCCAAGTGGACTGGGACTCAAGATGGCCACCAGAACAAGACACATGGATATTGTACTCAGCCCAATTCTTGCATGCCTTCCCTATCAAGGTATCGCTTTTCAAAACACCTGCCTTCCCCCTCAACCACAGCTGAAGGAGTTACTTTGGATAGGAATCCTGTGCTTCCCCTTCAATAGTTTTGGTTAATAAAGTCACTTTCTTTGTATTACAGCTTGCTTTTGTTAATTGAATTCTGCAAATGGCAAGCATCACGGACCTGCATTCTGTTAGAATAATATGAAGGGTACTTCCGTTAGATAAAAATTGTGAGGCCATTGTTTTTAACTAAGCTCCTGCACTAGGCCCCAACAGAATTGATTAAAAACCAGAAGAGTCACTCATGCTAAAGTTTCGTGTCACCAAACCTAAACTAAGTTTTTGTCTGACCTTCCTAAAAATCATTAGAAAGAAAAATAGACAAGTTCCTAAAGAGGCCAGTTTACATCTTCAATTTTTCTATTGTTCTGTCTCCTTGTATATGCCTTACAAGAAAAAGAAAGAAAGAAAAATTATTTAGGCAGAGAGGATACAGGAAACCTTGGTAAGGTTTTCCTTTTCATGAAAAGCAGCCCCCAAATCATTTTCTTTTGAGCTAGAAAAACAGACAAGCAAGCTAGAAGCTTGTACAAGTGAACGCTGGCAGCTGTGCCAATAGGAAAGGCTATCTGGGACTAGGCATCTTCAACATGGTAGCTCCATCTTTTTTCCTTTTCAACCAGGTGTGCAGTAGAGAGCAGACGACATGACCCTGGCCAAGTGAAAAGTCTATTTGCATAATAAGATTAGGGTGGGGTGGCCAACCTTCCCTATGCAATATGTAAACATCACACCTGGTGCAACCTATCTGTGGGCCCTATCTAAATCAGACTCTGCCTCCTCCAGCCTATCTATAAAATCCATGCCTGGCTAACTTTTTTGTAGAGATAGGGTCTTTCCATGTTTCCCAGGCCAGTCTCACACTCCTGGCCTCAAGCAATCCTCCCATGTCAGCCTCCCCAAAGTGCTGGAACTGCAGACATGAGCCACCATGCACGGCCACATTGCCTTTATTTTTACGAACAAATGGAGACATGGAGGGATTAAGTAACTTGCCCAGGGCGACCCAGTAAACGTCAGAGCTGGTATTTGAACCTTTAACTACTATGCAATGTAGCCTCTTCTTAATCCAGCATTCACAGCTTTATGAGTTCATCTCCCCATCCCTCTGTTTCTCTGCATCTGTCCAGCTGTCCATTACTACCTGATCCGCCCCTCAACTTTTTGGTCCACTCATTAGTCTCTCCACATATCCAGCCTGTCAGTAATGTCTTGAATGGTGACTTTAGCTTTACTGTAACATTGCTTCATACAGGGAAGCAAACACATAGGAGAAATTTACAGTGTAAATTGCAGAAGCCAGAATATTTTAAACCATTAAGCTAAAATTAATGTAAGCAGTGAAAGTTCAATATTTGCTTCAATAACAGAAAAAATGAATTATAAAACATTCTCCTATTTATTTCAATATGTTTATTTCAATAGGTCTGCCTGTTAATGCCTTATCTCGGTTTGCACATGTACGTTTATTTTTCAGCTGGCATTAAAGTGGGTCTGGAGGACTTTTGATTTTTTTGGTTGAGGAGCAAACAGAGTAAAAGAGTGTTGGCCTTGGAAGCCAGTTCATCTACCAGTATGAATGAAATGACAGTTATATGCAGGTACTGAGGAAAGACTGTTCTACTCCAGTTTATTCCAGGAACCAGCCACACTCCCTCTTGCTGAGACATTACTATTTCTCCTGTTATTTCTTTTTGATGGTTTGTTGGTTTGTTTTGAGATGGAGTCACTGTCACCCAGGCTGGAGAACAGTGGCGTGATCTCGGTTCACTGCAACCTCTGCCTCCCAGGTTCAAGCAATTCTCTTGCCTCAGCCTCCCGAGTAGCTGGGACTACAGGCACATGCCACCACACCCAGCCAATCTTTTGTGTTTTTAGTAGAGACTGGGTTTCACCATGTAAGCCAGGATGGTCTCCATCTCCTGACCTCCTGATATACCTGCCTCTGCCTCCCAAAGTGCTGGGATTACAGTCATGGGCCACTGTGCCCGGCCATGAATATACTATTAATATCCCCATCATATAGATGAGGAAACACAGGCAGAGAAAGGTTTAGAATTGAGGAGCAGCAAGTGGCAGACACCATTACGTCTTACTGCCTCTAAAAACTCTGCTCTAGAAGAATTTATAATCTACCCAGGAAGACAGACAGTCCCTTGAACCTGCTTGTCTAACACGTGTGTCTGCTCCTGTCATTTCCCCAACCCACTCCCAGTCAACTATTCAGGAGCTATTCTAGACCACCAGGTGCACATTCTAGACAGCTATTTGGAAGCTGACCTGCACGGTGCCTCACCTGTGTTGAAGCTGAGGACTTGGGTTACTTCCCTCTCCACAGTCACTGCTGTGGGAAGTAGAAAAGTTCCTCTTTAATGTTTCCTTTCTTGGTTAAGAAAAATTCATAAGTGTTAGAAATAATAGTTTGTTTTAAACATTTTCTTCAAAAGCCTTCTTGCCTTGTTGCTAAAAGCCCTATACTACGTAGCTGTTAGACATGCTTACAGGCACGTAGTACATTCTATGTCTTAGCATTTTGTGTGTGTGTGTGTGTGTGTGCGCGCGTGTGTGTGTGTGCTTTTATTTATTTATTTATTTTTAATTTTTTATTTTTTTAATTTTTTATTGCATTTTAGGTTTTGGGGTACATGTGCAGAACATGCAAGACAGTTGCATAGGTACACACATGGCAGTGTGTTTTGCTTCCTTTCTCCCCTTCACCCACCTTTGGCATTTCTCCCCAGGCTATCCCTCCCCACCTCCCCCCAGGCTGGCCCTCCCCTTTTCCCCCCAATAGACCCCAGTGTTTAGTACTCCTCTCCCTGTGTCCATGTGTTCTCATTTTTCCTCACCCACCTATGAGTGAGAATATGCGGTATTTCATTTTCTGTTCTTGTGACAGTTTGCTGAGAATGATGTTCTCCAGATTCATCCATGTCCCTACAAACAACACGAACTCATCAATTCTGATTGCTGCATAATATTCCATGGTGTATATGTGCCACATTTTCCCAATCCAGTCTATCATCAATGGGCATTTGGGTTGATTCCAGGTCTTCGCTATTGTAAACAGTGTTGCAATGAACATTCGTGTGCATGTGTCCTTATAGTAGAACGATTTATAGTCCTTTGGATATATACCCAGTAATGGGATTGCTGGTTCAAATGGAATTTCTATTTCTAAGGCCTTGAGGAATCGCCACACTGTCTTCCACAATGGTTGAACTAATTTACACTCCCACCAACAGTGTAAAAGTGTTCCTTTTTCTCCACATCCTCTCCAGCATCTGTTGTCTCCAGATTTTTTAATGATCGCCATTCTAACTGGCGTGAGATGGTATCTCAATGTGGTTTTGATTTGCATCTCTCTGATGACCAGTGACGATGAGCATTTTTTTCATATGATTGTTGGCCTCATATATGTCTTCTTTCGTAAAGTGTCTGTTCATATCATTTGCCCACTTTTGAATGGGCTTGTTTGTTTTTTTCCTGTAAATCCGTTTGAGTTCTTTGTAAATTCTGGATATCAGCCCTTTGTTAGATGGGTAAACTGCAAACATTTTTTCCCATTCTGTTGGTTGCCGATCCACTCTAGTTACTGTTTCTTTTGCTGTGCAGAAGCTATGGAGTTTCATTAGGTCCCATTTGTCTATTTTGGCTTTTGTTGCCAATGCTTTTGGTGTTTTGTTCATAAAGTCCTTGCCTACTCCTATGTCCTGGATAGTTTTGCCTAGATTTCCTTCTAGGGTTTTTATGGTGCCAGGTCTTATGTTTAAGTCTTTAATCCATCTGGAGTTAATTTTAGTGTGAGGTGTCAGGAAGGGGTCCAGTTTCTGCTTTCTGCACATGGCTAGCCAGTTTTCCCAACACCATTTGTTAAACAGGGAATCCTTTCCGCCTTGCTTGTTTTTGTCAGGTTTATCAAAGATTGTATAGTTGTAGATATGTTGTGTTGCCTCCGGTGCCTCTGTTTTGTTCCATTGGTCTATATCTCTGTTTTGGTACCAGTACCATGCTGTTTTGATTACTGTAGCCTTGTAGTATAGTTTGAAATCCGGTAGTGTGATGCCCCCGCTGTGTTCTTTTTGCTTAGAATTGACTTGGCTATCTGAGCTCTCTTTTGGTTCCATATGAAGTTCATGGTGGTTTTTTCCAGTTCTGTGAAGAAAGTCAATGGTAGCTTGATGGGGATAGCATTGATTATGTAAATTACTTTGGGCACTATAGCCATTTTCACGATATTAATTCTTCCTAACCATGAACATGGAATGTTTCTCCATCTGTTTGTGTCCTCTCTGATTTCATTGAGCAGTGGTTTGTAGTTCTCCTTGAGGAGGTCCCTTACGTTCCTTGTGAGTTGTATTCCAAGGTATTTTATTCTCTTTGTAGTAATTGTGAATGGCAGTTCGTTCTTGATTTGGCTTTCTTTAAGTCTGTTATTGGTGTAGACGAATGCTTGTGATTTTTTCACATTGATTTTATATCCTGAGACTTTGCTGAAGTTGCTTATCAGTTTCAGGAGTTTTTGGGCTGAGGCGATGGGGTCTTCTAGATATACTATCACGTCGTCTGCAAATAGAGACAATTTGGCTTCCACCTTTCCTATTTGAATACCCTTTATTTCTTTTTCTTGCCTGATTGCTCTGGCTAGAACTTCCAGAACTATATTGAATAGGAGTGGTGAAAGAGGGCATCCTTGTCTAGTGCCGGATTTCAAAGGGAATGCTTCCAGTTTTTGCCCATTCAGTATGATATTGGCTGTTGGTTTGTCATAAATAGCTTTTATTACTTTGAGATACGTTCCATCGATACCGAGTTTATTGAGGGATTTTAGCATAAAGGGCTGCTGTATTTTGTCAAATGCCTTCTCTGCGTCAATTGAGATAATCATGTGGTTTTGTTTTTGGTTCTGTTTATGTGGTGAATTATGTTTATAGACTTGCGTATGTTGAACCAGCCTTGCATCCCCGGGATGAATCCTACTTGATCATGGTGAATAAGTTTTTTGATTTGCTGTTGCATTCGGCTTGCCAATATTTTATTGAAGATTTTTGCATCTATGTTCATCATGGATATTG